AGAGGTTCAACAGCAGGTGAGGATTTGCAGAACTGTTTGAATGAAAGGTGAGAAAGTGAAACATCTATTTTTGTCTCCATTAAGCTTCTTGTTCTCTAATGTTTTTAAGAATGAAGAACAAACTTTGGTATTTTGAGTTTGCTACCTCTGAGACCCTCTCTTCCTCCTGCAAGAGGCTGAAGGACTGTCTCACAATTGAGGTAACAGATTCTAATGCGGTCCTGTAGCTGTGGTATCAAAACTAACCATATTTCATCAGTAAATTTGCTTTGGTCCAGTTCTTTACATGACTTGTTTCTTATCCTCCACCAGTGCAGTGGGAGAAGTTTGGACCTGAGCAGCATGTCTCTGGAAGGCATAGCTGTCCTCAACATACCCAGCATGCATGGTGGCTCCAACCTGTGGGGCGAGTCCAAGAAGCCCGACAGTGGGACAGAGGTGGAGCACAGTGACGTCATCACTGACCGTGAACTTCTTAAAACTATCCCACAAGGTGAGACTGGATGGATGAGTTTTCATTTATACATTACAACACAATACAAAATATATTCTCTAGCTGCCATCATCCTGTTTGTTGTTTTTATCTTTTAAAAAACTCTTTGACCTTGATCTACGTGTAAGTGCATGTTGTCACTCTGCAGATATGAGTGATAAGCGTCTGGAGGTGGTGGGGCTGGAAGGAGTAATCGAGATGGGACAGATCTACACTGGACTGAAAAGTGCTGGACACAGACTGGCACAGACTTCACAAATCACAATCAGGTGTTTATTCTCACCTGAAGAAATAACAACAGATGATATAATAGAGCTAAAGATAACAACATCACATAATACAAGATCAAACATGTTGGCTTAGCTAAAAAGTATCAAGTAAAATGTTTGGCTTTTGTTTTTTATTGATCCTCTTGTTAAGAGACCCTTTGTATTTGGTCTCCCTTCATGCTGTTGTGTTTAAACAAATACAATCCGTACAAAACAGTATGATTAGTACTTTACAATTACATATCATTTACTCTCTTCCCTGTTTGCAGGACAATCAAAGCCCTGCCCATGCAAATCGATGGGGAGCCCTGGATGCAGCCTCCATGTACTGTAAGTGTTATTGACCAAACAAATTCAGTTCTAATAATCACAACATGACATACTAAAATAGAACATCCTATTACCTTTCGTTGAACAGACTGATTTTTTGATGTTTTGGGGTATCTTGTAAATGGCAGTTATAAATGTAGACATGCATTAATTTTCTATCTTTTTAACACATGAAAAAAATTCACTCATGTTTTTTTTTTTTAAATCATAGATCCACATAACCCACAAGAACCAAGCTCAAATGCTGATGGCTGCACCAGCAAAATCGTCGGGCTTCTTTCACCTCAAATAGATTTACGTTTCCACTTTGTCCTTCAGTTTTTCTGAGCACCCCAACAGACCAGCCGGACTCTATTGTTAAAAATGCTGCAGTATTACAAACAGGAAGTCCATCATGCAGTGTTCAACTCTGTGTTTACACCATAACGTGTTTTTATGTATGTCTATTTTTTGCTCCTGTTCCCTTACAAAGTACAGACAGCTTGCACTTGGGCAGAGAACAAATTAAAAGTGCAACTGATCGCTGTGTGCCAATTTAAATGTGATTGATTCATTTTCTTCGTATACTAGTGTGAAGTGCTGAGCATGTTATTTTACCTTTAGCACAGGGAGAGTTATGTTGTGACTGCTTTTTATCCTCGGTTTATCTAATTACAGAATTGATTAGTTGAGTTTTGTGAATGTTTCCTGATGCAGTAAATAATGAACTGGCTTTGTTTAGCCTTTAGAAGCTCACTGTGTTCATCATCACTATCTTACCAGTCTTTCTCATGTCTTTTACTGTCACTGTTCATCAACCCAAAAAAATACTATATCATGTATTTGTATCATTGTTTCTAGGGACTCAGTATTGAAGAAATAATGTGAGAAACACTTGATTAAATGTGACAGTGTGCTAAAAGATTTTACTTTGAAAGTACTGAATAGCTTTCTTAAATTTATCAAGTTTAGTATAAAACAGCTTTCCATTGATTTTCATAAATTATGGTACTTTGGAAAGAAAAATGTAAGTTTCATTACGCCTGACTTACGATTTAAGTATTTACATCATGTATGTAACAGGACTCCCTCAGTCTTCAACCTTCTCAACATAGTTAGAACATACACAGAAACTTTATATATTCAAATAATACTAATTATGAAATCATCCAAAATATATTACACACCATGTAATATTGAGAGGAATAATTGAGAGGAAGCAAAGAAAAGGCTGAGGTTTACCTCAGTGACATCTATTATGTGATCTCAGTCTTCAGCAGCCTGTATTGTGTTGAATATTAATTGTACTTCCTGTGCATATACATAATGTAGGATAATGTATTATCTTTATGCTGATTTGTGTTGTTGTCATGTCTTGTTACGGGCGGATAATGGAGTTGTGTTTGAGTTTATTGTATTTTAAGAGCTTTTACTGTCTGCAGTACAATGGAATGAGACAGACATTTACCATAAAGCATCTCAGTATTTATTATGCAGTTTATAGAAAACAAATCTTTAACTGTATAATTTAAATGAGATTGAGGCAATCTCAAAATATAATAAAGTTCATTCACAAATGTTTTAATCTACTCTATCTTGCATCAAAAAGTGTCCTACCATTCTTAGTTTTCATTAAGAGGTTAAACACTGATATAAAGAGGAGAGGAGAAATAGAAATATCTTTTCAAAGGAATACATTGAATGTAATATTTTAGATATTAACTCTAGATGGACATGTTCTGTTCAGTGTTGCCAAAGCAAGGATACATTCATTCTGTTAATTTTCTCTAAAATCTCATTTTACAAATAGGGTTTATTTTCATCTGAAAAAAAAATCTGCCACATGAAAACATAATGTATTGATGCAAATGTATACAAGAGGGAACTTTTGCTTTAGGTGCACAAGTGGCCAATATCACCAAATGGAGTTGCAGTGCAGTAAAAATAAACTAAACCTACAAAATTATGAACAACAAAATATGCTTTAATTAATAAAGTAACAGTGCTCATATACAAATATCTATATCAGAATACTAATTACTATTTTATGAGACAACACTTGTTATATGCTTCATTTGTAGATTAGATAATCTGAATCTGTAATGTTACACTTATTCTGTCAAATAAAAGTAACCGGTCAAAGAAAAATATGCATTAGAGATTTAATGGAGTAGCATAAAATGTTAATACTCAAGTTTTGTAAAAAGTACATTAAAAAAAGGGTAAGAGAGTATAATAAATAAGTGTTAAATTTGAGACTTTCAGCTGATATGGGATTCATAGGAATACAAAATTTCTTCCTCCAAAAAACAGAAAAACACAAATGTCATGATTTAACCAGTCAGATGTGCTTATTTTAACAATCAATGTATCTTCATATAGAGTATGTGTGTACTATGTGCCTTTGTGCTATTGCATGAGTGAAGGAGACAGAATGGAGATGTGCAGTCCAGTTTGTTATTTCATACAGTTATCAACACAACATGGTGCTTAAATACCTGTGATGAACTTCATCAGCTCCTGGCAGGCCTGCACCATCTCCCATCATCTAAAAAAAAACACAGCAGCCTCTCACCCTGCATGATCCCTCTTTCATTCTGCAAAAAATGAAACCAGATCTTTCCCAAAAACATCCCCAGAGAGGGTTCAAGTGTTACTGTGTTTTTTCTTTGCGGTAGTTGTGGAAAAGTTGTGACATAAGGGGTATTACTTGCGGCTAAAATTGATGCTGACAGATGGACACCTGCAGCTGTGACATTCATAGTGTAAATTTTCAGATGATGACATTACAATGTGACATGGTTTCTTATTCTAAGGCTCTTGAAATAAAAGATTAAGTTGTTGTTATTGTTGTCTTGTTTGTCGTTTTGGCAGTTCTTAGACTGTCCTTACTAGCAATAGTAAAGACAAAGGCTATATGGTGGTACAGCTTGTAGGACTTATTATGTAAAAATAAGTTAATGAGATGTGCCTATCTGGGTTAGAAGAACTTATGTAATGACAATTTTTTTTTTATTTTGATGAAGATACTATATATATATAAATGGAAATTTATCAAATTAAAATATTAGCCGAAAGACTAAAGGCCACAGAAGAAGCAGAGTATAGTTTTCTGGCACAGCTTCACCGACTGCAAAGGTGCATGGAGTCTAAGTATGAATATCAATTATATTAACTTGACCTAATAAAGTTAATAAAATGTATCTTCATATTAGATACATGTAGAGGATCCAAAGTGTTCAATATCAAACACATCATAAAATAATGTGAATGGATAATTAGATGAACCAAAACAGAAACAATAAAAAGACAATAATTTATCTTAATCATGAAACTTTAAGTTCAATAAAGTTTTGTTTTTAAACATCCCAAAACACAAACTTTAATATTAAACAACTTAGTTCTCCATAATGTATGAGTAAATGTATAAAATCACAGAATATTCACCATTTATAAGCTGAAAAGCAGTTCAGTTGAGAGATAGAGGATATTGGTTTCCACCTTAGCCTCCGTGAATTCAGTAGGTCTGTCTTTAAAAAAAACAAACATGTTTGATTCCTGTTCTGTCTTACGGTTACACATCTTCCTGATGTGAACGTCTCTTAAATAAACATTTCCACAGACGTTAAATGTCTGCGCCTCCAAACTACTGCTATTTTTAGCATTTTTCATCTGGTAATAGCCCCACGTGAGCACGCTGTCGTTGTTTGGTTATAATTAGTACGCACGCTCCCCATACTCTTGCGTCAATGGAATCCCGTGCCTGCGTCACACAGAAGAACGTCTGTCTCGAATTTAATGCTGATTGGCTGTTGACCCGGAACGTTCCACCGCCCCGTTCACCATGTTTGGTCAAGGTCCCGCCTTTTTGTCGACGCATCCAAAATAAAGCAAGAGTGTATGGAGCCTCCTGCGTCGGGCTGACCCACTGTGTTTGTGTGAATGTGTTTGAATGAGTGCATGCGCTCACAGCAACTGGCAGAGGTGACAGTCATCAGTTTCACTCATTTGGAATAAATGAAAAGCTTCAAACTCTGGATACTTACATGAACCAGGTGAGTCAAAATGATTTTTTTTTTGTTGATATTTATTAATTAAGTGGGTCACATGAATTTTACGTCAGATGTTTATGCTTGTCTTCACACCATATCATTACTAGCCTACAGTCAGATGAGACGGAATACATACTTTTACAATAATTAACACTGTATAGTCACTTTATACGGAATACATAAAGTGCAATGAACTCCTCTGTAGGCTATCCTTTACAACAAAAAACTGAACACTAATTAAAGTTGCCTACATAAGCCTATAAACTGTTTTTAGATTAAGTAAGTCTTGCAAGTATTGATACTACTACTGCTGCAACTATACCATGAGTATCTAAAGGCTTATAAGCTATCTGGCTGACATTCTGACTTCAAGAAGTTTTTTAACATGTAGTTTGGTCTATCACTGTTATAGGGTATAAGAAGATTTACAAAGAACGATATTTAGATAAAATGCATAACTAAGTTGTACATTAAAAACAAAATAAATAAATAACTGGTTTAAATTTTAAGAATTTTCAAGTAATGCTCAAATGTTTTTTTCTGTGATGTGTTGACAAACCCCATAGAGTTGCACTTGTGAATACATGCCCATTCACCAAAAATGTCACGCACGCACGCACACGCGCGCACGCACGCACGCACGCACGCACACACACACACACACACACACACACACACACACACACACACACACACACACACACACACACACACACACACACACACACACACACACACACAGGCTTTACCACCTTTCCCATTTCACCTGGCATTCAGCCCACCCTGAAATACAATCTGCAAGACTCCCTGGCACAGCACCTGTGTGAGAGGGTTGCCCTCCACTGAAGGAGGTTTTCAGAGCATTAACAGCCTGTAACAGTATAGTTGACATTATCTGATTGCTCCACTGGACCACCCTTTGCATATTCCAACACAAACAGAAAGGCCCTGAAGCTAGTCAAATGGCATGAAGGGGAAATTAGACCGTTCCATGTGTTAATGTAGGCTACTGTTTGGAGGAGGGAGGATTAAAAATGCTGAGCTAGTTGATTTAAGACATTTCTATTTTACTGGGATGACCTTTATTACCTGTGATAAAACATACAAATGGGTAAACAGACAACTCCTGGTGAGACCCAGTCCCCAATGATATAAGTAACTGGCTTTTATTTTGAAAAAGTCACCACTTAAAGTCACCACTTATTTAAAAAATGTTTTGAAATTATAATTTAATTGTACTATTGAGTTATTTTCACTTTTAAGTGTAAATGAAAGGCGGTTTCATAAAGTAAACAAAACAAACTTTTGGGGGTTTATTTTACATAATAATAATTATGGACCTTTCCTTTTGTCCTATAGCAATGTCCTGTGTACAAACACAGTATGCATCCATGCCCCATGACAACTTCTTCAGCTCTGAGTTCTTGAATTCTGACCTCAGTGCCAAATTGGTAATGGACATCGGTGGCCAAAAGGATCAGCTGTCTACATCTTCGCTGCCCAGCATCAACACCTTGGTGGGAAATGGGTACATGGGGGAGTTTGATGGCTATTCTTGCAAGATCACCACCTCTCCTCCCAACTCTACAGTTTCATTCAGCCACACCGCTGTAACTGAAAGTCCTCAAATGCAGAGCCAAACCTTCAAGCTGGATGATCTCCAGGTGTATGGCTGTTACCCAGGTTCCTTTGCGTTCAGCTGCTATGATGAAACTCTTTCCTCATGTGGCTCTGACTACTATGGCAGCCCAGTCTATGCCACTGCTTCTTCTCCGACACCAGGCTTCCAGACGCAGTCTGTACATGTCTGGGATTCCCCTTTCAGCACCTACCCCTCAGCCCCCCAAGCCTCTGTGGCTGATAAAGCTGCCATGGCCCAGCAGCTCTCTTTTTTCTCCTTCAGCCCCACACCAGAGCAGCACTCTCCCTTGGGCCAGCATCAGGAGTCGAACCAGGATGACCCTTTCTTCCTGCCTCCTCAGCAGCATGTCTCCCCACTTCATTGTCCCCCTATTTCCCTGGACCACAGACCCCTCGAAAGTCCTAGGTCAGTGGATGGGGCCATGATGTCTCCCAAAAACCACAGCCCAGGGTCCAGTGAAGGTCGCTGTGCAGTTTGTGGTGACAATGCATCCTGTCAGCACTACGGAGTCCGCACCTGTGAGGGCTGCAAAGGATTCTTCAAGGTAAAGAGCTGAACAGTGTTTCCCTGGGCCAGTGATGGCTTATGTGTGATATATTAGTATTACCTTAAAAGATGGCTGTGAAGTCACATTGAAATGCAGTAGATGCATCAAATAGATGGTTGAGCTTGTTAAAACACAGTGACACCATAAAAGGTTTGTCCACCAGAGAGCAGTAAAAAGTCAGTTTTTATTTTGTACAATTTAAGTACATTTGTTTTGTTTTAAAAATAATTATTAATACATGTTTGTACTTACATTTTAAAATAAGTTTTAGCCTGAAACAAATAATATTTGTTTGGCTGATGAGCATTCAGTTTACATAAGACATTGAGCCTTTATTAGTCATGCACCTTTGATTATTTGTTGATACAGATAAGATACTTATTTCAGTACTTTATATTGTAAAATCTGTGAGGCTTTATATAACTGTAGTGATGTACTTTTTTCTCTTTCTTACAGCGAACTGTACAAAAAAAAGCAAAGTATGTGTGTCTTGCCAATAAAGACTGCCCGGTGGACAAGAGGAGGAGGAACCGCTGCCAGTTCTGTCGTTTTCAGAAATGTCTCGCAGTTGGGATGGTTAAAGAAGGTAATGAAAGGATCTCCTACAGTTTTCAGTGACTAACATATGACGATCACAAACCAGCAAAGCTAGTGGGGAAACACATATTAACAGAGCCTTATAGGGCCAGCTGCAGAAAAAAACGAAACTGAATCTGAGAGGCCAGTGTAAAGTGCAAAATGGGCATCACAAACTTGTTCTTGAACTGTTAATTTCATTTCCCTTTCTTAGTGGTTCGCACTGACAGCCTGAAAGGGCGCCGGGGCCGCCTGCCCTCTAAACCTAAGAATGTGACTGAGGCTTCATCCACGACCCCAAGTGTCAACATCATAGCCTCTCTTGTCAAGGCTGACATGGACTCAAACCCAAGCATTGGACAGCTTGATTACTCCAAGGTAAATTTCAAGACTTCAACATGTCCAGAACTCCTTGATCCGATCAGATTTTTAGACATAAAAGGTAGAACAAGAGGTGCAGGTTTTGTTGGAAGATCATGGCGCCTCATCTAATAAAGGCTTAAGTCCAAAAATGAATCTTTAAAAATAGAAAAGAAAGAGAGAAAGTTTACTAATCGCAATTTGTTTTGTAGCACTGACTGTTTTCTCTCGTTAACCACAGTACCAGGAGACAGTGGACAACCTGAAAGAAAAGGTGGACAGCGGTGACATCCAGCAGTTTTATGACCTTCTGACTGGTTCTTTGGATGTAATAAGATCTTGGGCTGAAAACATCCCAGGCTTCACAGATTTCTGCACAGAGGACCAGGAGCTACTCCTAGAATCTGCCTTTGTTGAGCTCTTCATTCTGCGACTCGCATACAGGTCTGCCTTTTTAATGTTTATTAAAATTGCCCATTTCTAGTATTTTACTTGATTACAGAGCACCAGTCCATATATTTATTGTACATTTGTTCCTAAACTGTGCAGGTCAAATCCAGGGAAGGATAAGCTAATCTTTTGTAATGGCTTGGTACTCCATCGACTGCAGTGCGTCCGCAGTTTTGGTGACTGGATCGATTCTATCATGGACTTCTCCCAGAACCTTCACCGCATGAACCTGGATGTGTCCCTGTTTGCCTGCCTTTCAGCACTCGTTATAATCACTGGTAAGAGTCTTGGTTTGATTTCCTTTTACATAAAATCAGGTGAAACCGTATTACAATCTAAATTAAACGGTTATGATTCCGTACTGTGTTTCTTATAAAACCATATTTTGCATCTAGATCGCCATGGGCTCAAAGAGCCAAAGCGGGTGGAGGACTTCCAGAATCATCTCATCACTTGTCTTAGGGAACATGTAAGTGGAAATGGCTCAGAAACGATTCGGACCCAGCCCAGCTATCTCTCAAGGCTTTTGGGCAAACTCCCTGAACTAAGGACTTTATGCACTCAGGGCCTACAGCGAATCTTCTACCTGAAACTGGAGGACCTAGTCACTCCTCCACCAATAGTGGAGAAAATCTTTATGGACATTCTGCCGTTCTGAAAAACATAAACACAAATGTGTTCATTTAAAGTTATACAGAAAGTTTTACAAAGGACTTCATGGGAGAACTTCCTTCTGTCGCACTGACTTACATGACAAATGTCTGATACTGTTCAAGAGACCATTATTTTTGTAACATTGGGTAAAAAAGATACATATGTTACCTGGTATTTACAGTTCATGAAACAGGTAAACTGTATATTTTCTGTGTGCATTTTAAAACAACTTTATTGCTGTGCTAGGTGTGTGGATGTTGTCCTGTTATGCAGCTAGTAAGACATGGTTATTCGGGTAGATGCAATGCAGTGTTACGTGCTCAGCTTTTCCTTGACACAAAATAAATACACTAATTTTTTTTTTTTTTTTTTAAAGTATTTTTGCAGCGTAGCTCTTTTAGCCCACTTAAAACCTTAGGTAGTAGATTTTATACAAGTGCAGAAACACAAAACGTTTCTTCAAATTACTGTGGAGAGTCCTTCTTTTCCAAAGCAAAATAGTTACTTATAGATAGTTGATGTCAAAATGCGCACGTTGAAGGTCTAGGACCAAAGTTTACTCTTATTTTTTATAATACCACTTACAGACCTTATTGCCTTAAACTTAAACATAACACATAATATACTATGACTCATGTGCTGCCATTTTGCAACACATTTTAAAAGCTGATTACGGCGGTGTTCTTGTTAAACCACAATGTAAAAAAAAGTGGGCCTTTAAAGACACAAAAATTGATTTGCTGAATGAAAACAGAAAATGCCTTATATAAAGCCTCAGCCTTCAAACCATAATGAGTGACACTAAGTGAATTGTTATTGCATATATCACATACAGAGAGCCCCATGTAGTAATGATGGAAACTATCCTTGTTAATGCTGCAATTAGAATAGATCTCACATGTGACTTCTGATTATGATTTCAGATTGTGTATCCGCTTTTGTAAAGTGCCTGAGGGACACAATTGTCAGTACAGTGAAAAAGAGCATCTAAGACTTTAAAGCACATTTCAAATAGAAGGGCTATCAAGTGATGACAGCTGGTTTAGGATCTACAAATAATGTCCTGTTGACATGTTCCTCAGGCAGTGAAATCCAGAACTACATTTGAGCTGTCCAGCTTATGATTGAGTTAAGTCAAAGCACATTTTAGAGTCTCCTTGAATCTACAATTAGACACAGCATCTCCTTTCTATGATTCGTTTTAACCAAACAGCACTGTAAAAATCCACTTGCATAAGCAGACCATGATGTTTAACATCAGTTAGTTTATTGTCTTTGCCAGCAAATACCTACCCAAGGGATCTAAACCCCAACTTTCTGTTTGTAAAACTCTCGTACTGTCTTCCACAATCTTCTGAATGGTGTCCTTTTTTTACACGTTGATTTCTTTTTTTAAATCTCAGAACGAGCTTAAGGAAAAACTTAAGGAATCACAGTGATGAGATGAGCAGCTAAAAGCACTTCAAATGTTGTTCCAACAAAAAGAAGAGCTTCTTTCTTCTACTTTGTGTTTTTTGACATGTGTGTTTGGAATTTTAAAAAAAAAGTACTGCCAGGATTTTCATAAAAGGGTGCAGGAATATGAAAAGAGAATATTTGATAATAAAATTTTAAATTACACCATTGTCTCTGCTTGTTTAAATGAAGGGAAAATATTATTTCCTTGGAATGATGTGGACTCTATCACATTAAAGTTTTTAACTGTCTATGCATTATAGTTTTTAAATTTCTAGGGTAGATTTGTAGTCAAGTAACAGTAGCTCTTGTTTCTCTGTAGTCTCCGCTTAAAGGGATACTTCATCCATTTGCATTAAGCTTTGTATCATTAGAAACCTGGTAGTGTTTTTAAATGGTCGTGCAGCCCGCCATCATTTTCCCCTGAGATGGGAAATCTTTGTATTTCTGAGTCTGAAAAGGAGCTTCCAGTGACGCAAAAATCGTCATTTTGCATCATCGAAACTGTTGCGGTTAGCCGGGTGAAACTACAACTCTAGTTCCTCATATTTTAGACCACTGAAGCTACAGACCAATCACAGATCAGTGGGTGGGAACTCACTCCCAGAATCAAAACTTAACGTCCACCATATTGCTTGGTAGCTATGCTAACAGGCTCTATGGAGAAAGCTGATAACTGCGAAACAATATAAATAAAGCAGCGAGATGGCTGCTGCCGACAAGCCGGTCTTGTGTTTCGGCTTTTGCGGCCTCCTGCCGCTGGCCGCAGGGGCCACCGCTCGCCGCCGGGGCAGCCGCTAGTCGCTGCCCACCGGGGCCGGCGCGACACAAGTCCGGCTTGTTGGCAGCAATCAGGACAGTTTCTGCCTTTTCTTGGCCAAGAAGGCACTAACTTCAAAATTTATTTCACATTTCTACAACATACATGACCCAATGTCAATACAGATTCATGTTTCAACGGGTGAAGTATCCCTTTAAGTCCTACCCTAGTGAAAAGTTTTATTGTTTTGTACTCTTTCCATGAGTATTAGGGGCCATAGTCTCTTGTTCTTAAAAGACAGAGTTCTCTGTGTTATGGTGATTACAATCTGATTAGTTTCATGAACGGACGGATGCGCGAGTCGCTTTAAATGTTTCGGCTGCAAGGAATTGTGGGACGGCATTCTCTCATCTCCTTTCGTAAAGGATAGTCCAGTATATCCTATGCTAAAGGAAGTCATAAAGGAAGCATTGATGCACCTTTCCTTAGCTTTTAGAGAATTCAAACTGCGCTTATCATGGCCGCCACTTACATGCTTCCGGGTCATTTCACTCAGTTAGGAACCTTCCTAAGCAAAAAAGACAATTCCAAACCACCCCTTGTTTTATTTTGTAGTTGCAGGTTTAAGGTGCCTCCTATTATCTTCCCTTTTTATTAAAAAGGCATAAGAGAGACATTTTTAGCCAATGATGTTTTATTCAACATGTTTTATTCACTTAAGAATGTTTTGTGCAGTTGTACATTTGTATGCCTAAAACATTATGTATATCTTGGATTTAAATGTAACAATTATTTCATACAAAAAAAGTCAAAAAGGCACGCACATCCGAGAAGGTTACAGTGCTGGGTGCTGGACCAAAAATAGAAAAAAGTACTCCGCACAAGAGTCCGCACACCAGAAGTAGCTCCAATAAATGAAATTTAAGGGACTCTCACATGTAACGTTTCAGAAATGTTACACGTGACATTGTAGACCACTGTAGACTCATTGTAGACCTGGAAGACAGAGTTAAGGTAAGGAGAAGCTACTTTTGCATTGTAAGCAAGCAACAGGTTTAGAATTTGGCAACTGGGAGCCAGTGGAGGGAAATAAACAGAAAAGGGACATGCTGTTTTGGGTTGGTTGAAGACCAGTCACTCTGCTGTGTGTTGAATCATCTGTAGAAGTTTGAGTGTGCATGCAGGGAGACAAGCCAGTAAGGAATTTCAATAGTCAATGCATGATATTACAAGAGGCTGTACCAAGAGCTGTGTCACATGCTCTGATAGGTTGTGTTTGATCCTTGTTGTAAAGGGCAAATCAGCATGCACACATTCATGGCAATGTTGACCTTAAAGGTTAGCTGGTATCACTCATGACACCCAGGTTCCTGGTGGACTCTGTTTTGTTGGTTCAAGCTGGATAGTGATCTGTGGATGCATAGAGGGACTGGCTGGGATGAAAAGGAGCTCAGTCTTAGATGGGCTGGGTTGAAGGTGGCATTCATTCATCCATTTAGAGATATCAGCAAGGTATGATGAAATCCTTGCCAAGACTGTAGTGTCATCTGCTGGGAATGACAGGAAAAGCTGGGCATCGTCATCATAGCAATGGTATGAGAAACCATGGTAGAAGATGATTGCACCACGTGTAGTGGTGTAGTGTAGTGTTGATGGGCCAAGAGTCCAGCAGAAGCTTGGTGACTTTATCCTTGGTCAGAGGGGAGAATGAGGTGAGTGGAGCATTACTCAGCTCGGTGGTGCCTGTAGGCCCACGATGATCAGACTAAGCAAAGTAGTTACTGATGGTAGAAAGCTTATCAGTAAATTACGAGACACATATTTCATATGTGAGCAGAGTTGAGAATGGAGGATGATGTGGATGAGGCAAGGGTTAAATGCAGAAAATATTTGTGTGCATCTGTGGAACCAGAGATCTTAATTTGATAAGTGGTCTTTGCAGTTTTTTAACTGGGGAATGATGCGAGTCAAGGCTTACAATCGTTGACGTCAGTGGACTTTCTTTATCGACACCACTTTTTCGGTCCTGCCTTGCTTTCTGTTAGCTATATTTTCAGCGCACAATAGATATATCTCTATATAAAGTAAATTAAAATCCAATACACATACTTTAATACTAGCATTAGCATTTAGCTGTTAGCACTACACTGTCTTTGTATCTCTCTTTCAGTTCTTCCCAGTGCAGTGCAGGAAACAAAACTTGGGCTTTATTTAACACAACTCACAGAGTACTGGTAATATATTAACTGTGTGATGAAAAGTTAGAGAAAGAAGTCCTTCATCTCCTTTTCACTGAGTCTGTGTTGTTTTGTCAAACATGGTGTTAATGTTGGCATCTTCCCTGACCTAAAGGAAGATGACACCGTGCCACTCTCAGCCACTGCAAACTGCAGCATAGACAGCACGGCCAGCATTCAGCCACTCGACACATGATCCTACTGTACACCACGTTCCGGTCATCTGGATTTTGGTGTTGGCAGTCGTTGTGGAAAAAAGGGACAAGGGAAGAAAAGAGGAGGCGGCAAAATGAAAGCTAGCTAGCATTTAGATATTCATTATGTTACAAAATGGCAAGCGTGCCGCTCAAGTCAGATTTAATGAGGGCAGCAGACAAGAACTGTTTCATAAGAATGATTATGATGATGAATGAACTCTCTGGATTTAACTAAAAGCATTCTGGTTACAGAAACTATCTACTGTGTTAATCCTTTTTGACTTTCAGTTTAAATTCTCATTCTTTCATTCACGTCAAACATGTTGCCCTTTAGACTTAGCCTACATAGTTAAACACATATCCCTGTCAAAAACATATCATGTTTGAACTTGCACTGTGTCTTGACACCATCTTTTTCCAAAAGTAGAAAGGTACCATCTGGGGCTACCGTTGACCCCTTAACTTTTGACCTGTGCCCTGTCACGCAACGCTGAATTCAGGAACAAGCTGTAGCCTTAAACCATGTCCAGAAGATTTCTGACCAGTAATATGCTGCTTACTTGTCACAGTGATTTGCAGCTCAAACATTCAAGCTCAGTGTCAAACACTTTGCTTCTTAGCTTCTCCAACCACACAGGGAAAGTTTGAGAACAGTTAACACCAGGGAATTTTCACTGTTACTTCACACTACAGAATTGTCTATCTACTTCATCCAGCTGTTGTCATGATTCACTTTGCAGTATAATATTTTGAGATGAAACCACTGACGGCCAATGAAAGTATTATGTGTTTTCATAGGTTTAATCATCCAACTGTACATGCAAAATGAGCCACAGCATGAACCACAACACTGAAGTGCTGCCTAAAATGAATCTTAATTCGCAAGGAACATGTGTATACTAGCTGCATGCAAGCAGCTGCGATGTGTTTCATTTACTGACATCAAGCTGATAGTCTCTACGGTACAGTACTAACACAATGACGGTTAATTACAGTAAACCAAAAAATCAATATATTTTACAGTATCATTTTAACACCCTTAGCTAAGTGTGTTAGCATGCTGCTAACCTTTCTGACTGGAAGAAAATACAAAGTGCAGATTAGGTTGATTTGTCTCAATGAGAGTGTTTACAGGATTTTTATGTTCACCCTTTCAATAACCTTTAAATATTAAGTCTTCAAAAGAAAGATATCTATATAAGTTTTTTCCTTGGTAAGAAGTTGAAATGACATCACAAGCCTGTAGACACCGACCAAACCCTCTGTACTGAGGGACAGAATTTCCTTCCAAGATCAGAGTGTCAATTTAAGAACTTGAAACTAATTTAAGCACTTAAGTACGGCACAACAAAAATTGATGACTGACAATTATAAATCATGGACCCTTCTACTGTAGGTCTCAGGTTGGGTGTTGGCAAATCATTACAATATTTTAGTCTTGACCAAAGCGGTCGAACAACAAACTGACTGAAATCAGTGTCTGCAGATCCTTTATGCAACAGTTGCAGAAATAATCTGATTTATCTTTTTGGTCTATTGTGTACACAGACAAGCAAGTTGACACCTGTTTTGAGGTCATTCTCAATGTTTTAACTCAAAGGTTATCATATTTATATAAATATTAAAACACAAAAATGGAAAGCAGAACTTAAAAAATAAAAATATAAAATAATCAAGTCTATCCAGTCAAGAACAACACCTGCAGGTGACCTTTTACACATTTCCACTGATGCTAACATGCTTTTGCTCAAGTAAAATTTGTAATATTGGATTCTTAATTAATTAATTAATAAACAAATCATGTAAAATAATTTGATTTGCACTGATAAAATGAATCAGAACTGTCACTTTCTCTCTGTTTCTTTGAAATCATTCCAAATAATTCAGCAATTAAGTTATAAATCATGAGTGATACATATTTGTATGTCACTCAGAAGCTGGTGTGTGTATGTGTGTATGTGTGTTTGTGTT